TTATTTTTGTTAATATCAGCAATGCCTTAAGCAACATTTTAAGGTTAGTTACACAAATTTTCTATGCCATTCTATGCTTTTAGGTTGTTAAATGTCCTTGTTTTATTTGGTGAACAAGCATATATTGTCTGGTATGATAGGTTTTGAACTTCTTATTAATGAAGGAGAATATATAATGTGGATTTTTACTCTATACATTATTTAGTTCTTCGAATAAGCTATCAGTATTTAGCAAAGTGGCCAAGGAAAGTCTTGCTAATTTTGTAGACGTCTGAAGTTGTGTTTATTTGGGTCAATTAGAGGGTAAGTTCCATACTAGATTCCGGTTGATTTTATACGAACATAACAAATTCTTCGACAATGTAATACTTCGAAGTCACATAGTGGGATGAAGGCAATACTCTTACTGCATTCACTTGTCTACATAGGTTGCATGTTGTGTAAATGGCATTAATTTTTTGAACTACCATATATATTAAAGTGGACTATGCTTAGGCTCCTAACTGGTTTAATTTTGGCAACTTTACAACTTGCTTTACATTCTCTTACTTCAACTATTACATCTTTGTCTGTCATAGCTAGGATTGCGGTTGCCGTTACTTTTTTTGTTATCGCTCTATTTTTCGTATGGCTCGTGAAGAAGTTGCATATATGGAAGAGAGAGACTAAAACAGTGCAAGAAGATATGAAGAAATTTTGTTTTATTTTGATTAAGTAAAGATATAAGGCGTGGATCATTTATTTTTATGAAATTTGTATATGGTTAATTTTTGTATAAAACCATGATTTGGAATTGGTTATATATATGATGTTATTGGCTAGTTGTAAGTTATTTTGGTTATGATGCTATTTTTTATTTATTTAGGGTTTGCTTCTATTGGGTCCTTACAAGGCTATATTGGAGTAGTAGTGGGGGAAAAAAAAAAAAAAAAAAAAAAAAAAAAAAAAAAAAAGGCCTCCTTAATGGGCTACAGTACTTTAAAAAATATATATGTATAAGACTTTCTACCATGGTGTACAATCGTGGTAGAAAGATTTTACCACTGTTCGGAACCATGTTAAAACAATTTTTTACTACCACGGTCCAAAACTGTGGTAAAACAATTTTTTACTACCATGGTTTCACATTGTGGTAGAATGATTTTTTTTCTACCACGGTTGTGCACCGTGGTAGAAAGTATTTTTGCTACCACGATTCTACACCATGGTAGAAAGTCTTTTTTCTACCATGGTTTAGAATCGTGGTAGAAAAACATCTATTTATTACCACTCCCATTTCTACCACGGTTTTCAACCGTGGTCGAAGGCGTTTTCCACCGTAGTAAAAAAAATCTATTTGTCTTGTAGTGAAATCTGCTTTGGTGACCAGTAGCAATAGAATTTCAATTGTTAACAACTCTGATCAACAACATTTACACGTCCTAACTCACTCGTGTGTATAATATGTGCATTCTCAACATGAAAAATAAACAATCTCTAAAAATTAACTCAATAGCCTTCTTATGGTTTCAAAAAACTTAATTGCAAAAGTCGTAATGATTTTGAAATCATAAGGAATATATATATATATATATGTATTAAGATAGACCTGAAAACCCTTGAAAAAGTTAGCAAATTTTTACAAATTTTTTTCTCTAAAATCAAATAAAAAAGGTAATTGAATTTAACTTTAAAAGAACTTTCCTTTTTGGTTTGAGCAAACACAACAAAACCGCTTGTGTTTCAGAACGTAACCGGTTGTATTTTGTATTTTGAGCTAATGACATGAAAATTAAGCTAATTAAACTAAGAAGGTGACACAATCCATTAAGAAATAAGCATGAACCATTAAATAAACCACAAAAATAATCTATTTAAGCACAATGCCTTAACCATCACTAGATTTATAATATCAACACATATAGACATGCATCAATGTCACAAAATCTAGAGATAAACACATGAACATTCATTCTAGCATAGATAGACATATGGATAGACTTAAATGATCAATTGGAAGTATTAAACTACACAAATCATGTAGAAACAAGATTTATATATGTAAGAGGTCAAGACAAGAATTACAACACAAATCCCCATTAATTACAAAACATCAAAGCCTAGGAGGCATGCTTAGGGCTATCTTTAGCCCCAAGAGAATGGTTTAGCTACTCATTGATGATGTCATCCAACCCTCGAGGGCTATCTCCATCGTAGAATTCATCCTCCTCTTCTTGTGCTCTTGGTAAAAACCCTAGATGAGTTGAAGAACTTTTTCAAATTGTATATTTCTCTCTCTAATCTCTAGCCAAGTCTTTCTTTAACTAACCCCTTTACTAAAAATAACCAAAATTCTTATATAGGTAGCTTAAATATTACACCCAATGGTCAGACCTCGTGCACTAGGACCTCCAAATGATTGCACCACGAGAACACCTTCAATTTGGCTTGAAATATGTTTTTCACGCAATTTGAGGTAGTTCGATTGATCATAATCGATTGAGCCATGGCGGCGCACTTTTTGGATAAGGATAAGGCTGAGATATTTTTGAAAAAAGGAAAAAAGTGGTTGGTAAGGATAAGATCAAGGTGTTCGATCGATCGGAGAAAATGTTAGATCGATCGAATAGGAAATTTTCCTGAGGATAAGGACAAAAGGCTCGATCCATCATGGCAGGGTCAAAACGATCACAGTGTGATCAATCATAACTTGGTCTTGATCGATCGTAGATAACTTTTTCACCACTTTGTTTCTACTTTGCTCTTTTCTTCCACTAGGCTTGAGATTGCTTCTTTTAATGCTCTAATTCAGCTGAATTGACTTATTTTGGGGATAAGTACTTGAAAAGGGAAATAACATTAAATTAGACTAAAACGAGAAAATAAGATAAAATAAGGTCCTAGAATATTCAAGATTAAGGGGTTTAAATGCGCACTTTTTAGGGCTTATCACACCCCCAAACTTAAATTTTGCTAGTCCCTAGCAATGAACTACAGAGTAAAGAAAGAAATGAACAACTAAACAACCATGAACTAGAAAGCAATAAATTGATAACGCCATTTTCGTAAGGAACACGATTGCATTTAGCGTATGCAACAAGCCTTTTGAACCCCTAGGTTACCCCTAGTGGGCGAGTGAAGTCTCGTGAGGGTTTCCAGAAATGATACCCACAAACATTAAGCTCTTTCTCACTAAACAGGCACCAATATTCCAAAGAAGCATTGGGAGAAAACTACCTCAAGTATGCAAATTTTCAATAATTTCCAATCAATGTCCTAAAATTTCAACATCCAGCAAGCAAGTATGGTCCTCCACACACTAAGACAATGATTATGCAAATCAAAACTGATAGGGAAAAATAACCCTAGCCTATCTTGACTTAACGAAAAAGGTAATTAAATATTGACCGGCCACCAGATTTCTCCAACTCTCAGACGATAATATCTCGTTATTAAGGATAACCATTTCTATAGATAAGAATGATGACAAATCGTATCTAGGATAGGATTTGTCATGGGGTAAGTTCAAATCTTATCAAGGATAAGATTTCCACGAGATAGGCTCCATAGGCTAAGGACGATGAAATTCCCTTATCAAGAATAAGGGAAAGATGACTCGGGAACAAGGTACACACAAAAAAAACTCCTACCAAGCGAATTAGATTAAAATTCTCTATCGAGAACCCTTACAAACTTGATCGTCGGAGGGTCAACAGCCAGCACCACACTGGTGTTTGACTTTGCCATCCTTATTTTGCAGGAAACGGTGTCGTACTAGACTGCGGCGAATTTCAACCTCAACAATTGGCGCCATCTGTGGGAACAGCGATTCCCTTGAATCGATTTATTACTCGTTGGGTATAGACGTTTGCAGTCCGGTATGGTTACCGAAGGAACACCGTCCCAGGGATCTGGTCAAAGGGAAGAGTCGGGTGAAAATCTAGATGTCCCAAATGACCAGACGCAGTTTACAGCGTTGGAACTGCAGGTCCAAACTTTGAATCAGGGTATGGACCAGTTGATCCAACAAAATGCAGCACTCCTGCAACACCTTGTTCCACCGGTTCAACAAAGCTTTCCACGCCAAGACCTCTCGAATCCAAATAGGGGTAATGGGAATCTGGAAGAGCAGGATACTCATCCTCCCCGACATGAGACCGAAGTTGAACAAAGCCAGGTGGGAAACCGACATAGAGAGGTGATCCACCCCTTTCTTCCACGGAGTTCCCGACCCCATGAAGACACGACTGTCATTGAAAAGACCGAGGAGATTTCCCACGTTGACCTAGAGACGCAGGATCTCAAGGCAAAGATGGAGGGTGTGATGTAGGCCATGAAGGGAAAAGGCATTGGAATGCCCTTTGCCAAGCAAATTTAGAATGCCCACAATTGAGAGTTTCGACAGAACTAAAGATCCCCTCGACCACTTGAAGACTTTTCAGGCGCTTATGCACCTACGTGCGATGCCGGATAAGATCTTGTGCAGGGCTTTCCCAACAACTCTCAAAGGATCAGCACTGGTATGGTTCAACAAACTAAAGCCAGGAACCATCAAAACCTTTGAAGAATTGAGTAAGGGCTTTATGGGCCATTTCATTGCTGGCCAGAGGCATAGAAGGCCGGCTACCCACCTCCTTACTATGAAGCAACAGAAGGAAGAGTCACTGCAAGATTACATTAGTCGTTTTAACACGGAGATGTTACAGGTGGAGGAAGCGGATGACAAGGTGGCCCTAGCCGCCTTCATGGGAGGACTTCAAACCTCAAGATTCCTCTTCTCTTTATCAGAGGAACCTCCTACCAGCATGGTCGAGTTATTGGTTCGAGCTAAAAGACATATGAATGTAATGATTGCGAGAAAGGGAAAAGAAGGGGAGGATAAGAATTCAGACAAGAAAAGGCCAGCCTTGACGATCAGAGATGAAAAGGAAACCAAGTATAAGAAACCCATGGTTAACAAGAAAGAAAGGGCATCTCGCTAGAAGAACGCGGAGAGGTATACAAATTACACTCCTTTAAATATGCCGATAGGTCAAGTTTTCCTGCAGATCCAGGATGAGCCATATCTGAAGTGGCCACCGAAGTTGAAGTCAGATCCGACAAGGAGACCTCGTGATAAGTATTACAGGTTCCATAAAGACCATGTGCACACTACAGATGATTGTTTCGACCTTAAGGATCAGATTGAGACTCTGATCCGAAGGGGGCATATGCGAAAGTTTATTGTGGGGAATGACAGAACCGACATTAACCCACTAAGAGCAGGCCGAGACAACCACCCTCCTGATCAACAACCAAAAGGAGAGATTAGGGTCATAGCCGGGGGGTGTGCAAGAGGTGGAGAATTGAGCTCAGCCTGTAAGGCCTATGCCAGGAGAATGCGAAGCTCATCTGAGGTGTGCGAAGTAGGAGTACAGATTCAACATCGAAAGATGCCTCGTTTAGGTGATCCAGTTATTACATTCTTAGATGAAGACATGAAGGATGTGCAGCAACCTCATGACGACCCTCTTGTCGTCAACATGATGATCGCTAACTATAATACTCAGCGAATCTTAGTAGATAATGAAAGTTCAGCTGATATCATTTTTCTTGATGCATTCAGCAAGATGAAGATTGGTAAGGAGAAACTCAGACCTACTAGATCACCATTGGTGGGATTTACGGGAGACAAGGTCTATCCTCTAGGAGCAGTCATCCTTCCTGTCACTGCAGGAACCAGCCTAAAACAAGTCACTGTCATGGTAAACTTCCTGGTGGTGGATTGTCCATCTGCTTACAATGTCATCCTAGGAAGAGCGACCTTAAATTCGATGAGGGCCATCACTTCGACTTATCACCTATTAATGTGCTTCCCTACCGAGCATGGCGTGGGCGAACTAAGAGGAGATCAGTCCATTGCCAGAGAATGCTATGTTGCCTCTCTCAAAGAAAAGAGGCAGTAGGAGGCTTTGATTGTCGATGAAGTTGAAGAGAATGAGTAAGACTGGGCTAAGCCAATCGAGGACTTGGTGAAGATATGCTTAAATGACACTGACATAACAAAAAAGGTGAGGATAGGGTCTCTGCTCCCCTCAGATTTCACAAGTATTCTTATACAGTTCCACAGATATAATTAAGATGTATTCGCTTGGTCACATGAAGACATGCCCGGTATTAATCCAACAACAATTGAGCATCGATTAAACACAGATCCTACATTCAAACCTATCAGGCAAAAGCGAAGAAAATTTACCGCGGAAAGGAACATGGCTATATCAGAAGAGGTGAATTAGCTCATGAAAGCTAATTTCATCCAAGAGGTTCATTATCCCGACTGGTTGGCCAATGTTGTTTTGGTAAAAAAGGCCAATGGAAAATGGAGGTTGTGCGTAGACTTTACCGATTTAAATAAGGTGTGCCCTAAAGACAGTTTCCCTCTGCTAAGAATTGATATATTAGTAGAAGGGACAGTTGGCCATGAGCTGCTCAATTTTATGGATGCATACTCAGGGTATAACTAAATCTCAATGCACATACCAGACAGAGATAAAACCTCTTTCATCACGGACACAGGTTTATATTGCTATAAGGTGATGCCTTTTGGGCTAAAAAATGCTGGTGCAACATATCAGCGGCTAGTAAACCTGATGTTGAAGGACCAAATCGGAAGGAATATGGAAGTGTATGTGGATGACATGCTCGTAAAAAGCTTAAAAGCTCAAGACCATCTGGTTGATCTACAGGAAACATTCCAAGTCCTCAGGAAACACCAGATGAAGCTCAACCCAAGTAAATGTGCCTTCGGAGTCTCCTCTGGGAAATTCCTCGATTACATGGTAAGTAGAAGAGGGATAGAAACTAACCCTGAGAAGGTCCAGGCAATTCTCAACATGCAGTCTCCAACATCGACCAGGAACTTCAAAGATTGACAAGAAGGATCGCAGCTCTGAACAGGTTGATTTCCAGGGCGACCGATAGGTGTTTGCCTTTTTTCCATGTGCTCAGGAAAGCTTTTTCATGGACCCCTGAGTGCGAGGAAGCTTTTACAGAGCTAAAGGAGTATCTCACTTCACCACCATTATTGTCGCGGGCGATGCAAGGAGAACAGTTGTATTTGTACTTGGCAATTTCTCCGTTGGCAGTAAGCTCAGCCTTGGTCCGCGAAGAGGATGGAAACCAGAAACCGGTATATTATATTAGCTGTGCATTCAGGGGGGCGGAAGAAAGGTACCCAAGGATAGAAAAGTTGGCATTTGCTCTAGTTATCTCCGCGAGGAAACTCAAGCCTTACTTCCAAGCTCATACAATAATAGTATTAACGGACCAACCACTTAGGCAGGTTCTCCGCAAACCTGATACTTCAGGGTGACTCATGAAGCGGTCGGTAGAACTTGGAGAGTTCGATATCCAATACAAACCCTGAACGGCCTTAAAAGCCCGGGTACTGGCAGATGTTATAGCGGAATTCACACCAGAAGATGGGCCCGAGCATGCTGCAAATAAGCAGGAAGAAGCCGAATCTACTTGGACGTTATATGTTGATGGGTCTGTCAACGCCCGTGCAAGTGGGGCAGGGCTAGTAATTATCTCCCCAAATGGGGAATGCATCAAATATGCACTCAGGTTTGGTTTTAAAGCAACCAACAATGAGGCAGAGTATGAAGCCCTCTTAGCAGGCCTCAGGATGGCGAAAGCTTTGGAAGTTGAACAACTAGTAGCATATACTGACTCTCAACTAATAACTGGACAAGTCCAGGGGGAATATGAAGCCAAAGATGAGAAGATGAAGACCTATTTACATAAGATAGAGGATATCAAGGGTTTTTTTAAGAAATTTTCTATTCACCAGATTCCCTGAGAAGATAATGCGTAGGCAGACGCCCTGGCTCGACTGGCAACCACAGAGGAAGATAAAGCCATACCCGTGGGATATTTGGATGAGCCTAGCACGGTCTGGGATTGGCCACAGAAAATACACCAAGTGGCCCACGGCATGGAGTGGGCAGAACCCATTATCAGGTACATTGAGAACGAAGAGCTACCCCAGGACCGCATGGAAGCACGAAAGATTAGGATGCGTGCGGCAAAATATTCCCTCATTGATGGGGTTCTCTATAAGAAGGGATTTTCTCTACCCTACTTGCGTTATGTCTCCATTGATGAGGCAAATTACATTTAAAAGACATACATGAAGGCCTTTGTGGAAATCATGCTGTGGGCAGATCACTAGCGCATAAAGCTATCCGACAAGGATACTTTTGGCCTACTATGAGGACAGATGCACTTGAGTTTGTGAAGAAATGTGACAAGTGTCAAAGATTCGCCAATGTCCCAAAGCAACCAGCAGAAAAGTTAACCCCTCTTACAGGGCCGTGGCCTTTTGCCCAATGGGGGACGGACCTCATCAGCCCCTTACCCCAAGGGAAGGAACAAACTAAATACGCAATTGTGGCTATCGATTATTTCACCAAATATGTAGAAGCTGAGCCATTAGCTCATATTGGAGCGAATGAAGTAAAAAAGTTTTTCTGGAAGACAATAATCTGCAGGTTCGAATCACCAAGGGTAATTGTGACCGATAATGGGAAGCAGTCTGAAAGTGTGACGACCTTGGTTTTTAGGCCAGCGTGTCCTGTGATGAACCGAAGATTGACCCGATAACGGATCCGATATGCGGAAGCAAAAACAGAAAACAAGACTCTAAGAAGTCAAAATGACCTTCCATGAGGTCGTGGAACTCAATGACAACTGACGCGGAAGCAAAAGACCAAAAATATGACAAATAAGCCCCTAGGGGCAAAATAGTCATTTCCAAAAACTGTGGACTTAGGTGCCACCGAGCACACCGTTGGAAGGACAATGGAAAACTAATCAAGATGGACTCAAGAATCGCATGATTCGGAATCCGGACGAAGGAGAAACGGCATGACGAAGAAAAACGAGCACTTAAGGCAAAAAGGGTAAACTGGTAATTATCCAGGAAGAACTGGGTGCAACCGAGCACACCGTTGGAAAGACAGTGAAAAATTAGTCAAGTTCAAAAAAAAATTCACTTGAATCGGAGTCCGGACGAAGGAGAAAAGCCCAAAAGAAGAATTGACGTCGCGGCGGCCCGACGAAGGGCCATGGCGCACACAGCGCCCATACGCGAGCCCACCGGCGCCCAAAGATATGGCTGGTGGCAACCCTTGGCTGCTGCTACATTTTTTTTGATCTGCCCAGAACTAAGGCTTGAAACGGAGGTCAAGACGAGTTTTTCTGGAAAAACACAAAGAAGAAACCCCCCCTAAATCGAGTTTTCTACCCGACAGCGCAGACGGAATCGAAAAAAACTTACTGTGAAATCCCAAAAATGCCCCTAGATCAGAACTAAACAAGAGGGTCATAAAGCTGTTAAATGAAAACTGGAAGCTAAAACTTCACGAGGGATTTCCAGTAGCAAGACGACATATTCTGGAAAACACGAAGAAGAAACCCCCCCTAAAATCATGTTTTCTCAGCGACCATATCAAAAGAAGAAAATAAAACTGAGGTGAAAGGTCCATAATGCCCCTAGATCAGAATATGCAAAAAAAATGCGAAATGAATTCACAAGAGGCTCAAAACACAAACGATGAGATTTTGCCCGGAAACGACTATGCACGTAAACGTAACTTACCTATTTATACGCGTTACAATGGTCCATGGCTTAAACATATAGCTGATGCAAAATCCGACCCCCCAACGGGCGAAAAGGCAAAAATGGACTTGGAATGGAAAACATGGAATCCAAAAATGCAAAACGGGATCAAATGACCATTTGGCCCTTGGGCACACTTCATACAGGATTAATAAGACCCTATAAAAGAATGAAAATGGAATTCCCACACCCGATGCAACCGTGGTGAAGCAATGACTTGCGATTTTTCAAGTTTTTCATAACATTTCATGAAGTTAAAAATTTGCATAGAATACAATATACATGTCATTGGCCTCCAGCCTCATCTCATACATATCAAATACATTAAAAGGAGTGTACTTAAGTACACATTACATACATGGAATCAAACATACATATTTTGACATATAAGTCTACAAAATGACATTTCATGCTAACATTTGCATGAAATGGAAACTTGAAAGCTACTTGACATCCAAGGAATGCTAGGCTTCACGAACCAAGTCTTCGTACCGGAAATATGCCCCAGTATCGTAAGGGTGAGTAACATAAAGCTACTCGTAGGAGATGAGCATGCATCGACCTAGCATTTTACAAATTTATCACCTTAAGGTGAAACATGTTAAAGGGGCTCATGCCACCTAACGTCTATGTCCAAGTGAGACTCGGGGAGCATCCTAAGCTACCTTAGAGTCTAAGCAATAAGAATCATGATATACATACGTGTATGAAACGAATCATGGTTGGGATAATCTAAAGAACGCAACAAGAAGAATGCTTGAGCATATATTAACATGAATTCATTTTCAATACAATTGAACTAGGTCTAAAGTAATCCATACAACATAACAAAAGCATATTTGAATACAAGTTAACAAGAATCACATTATCCATGCAATTCAACAACAAAAGAGCATGTTATACAATGCAACAAGGTTTAAATTCTCAAAGCCATCAACTTAGAATCTAAAGCACAAAATAACAATAGTGGTTCATGCCACCTAACATCTATGTTATAAATGAATCAATAGGATCAATCCTAAGCTTTATTAGAACGTCAAAACACGATTTTCAATATCGATGCAATTTAACCAACATTGGAACTTCAAATACAACGCATAAAGCACAATTTCGTAAAGTTAACATCCTGTAACTTAAAATGGAACGACAAATAAGAAACAACAAGTTACAACATCATCTAGTTATAAACTTGAAAATGAAATGCGAAATCAAACAAAGTGGATACTCGTACGTCATGCCGGATCAGACCGACAACATAGTTACTTTAGGGTTACTAGCCCATAG